AATGGAGTTTGTACATGAAAGTGTGCTGCTAATTATTTAGACTCCTCTCAACAATGGAGTTTGTACATGAAAGTGTGCTGCTAATTATTTAGACTCCTCTCAACAATGGAGTTTGTACATGAAAGTGTGCTGCTAATTATTTAGACTCCTCTCGTCAATGGAGTTTGTAGATGAAAGTGTGATGTTAATTATTTGAATACATGTCAACAATGAAGTTTGTACGTGAAAATGTGCTTCTAATTATTTGAGCTCATGTCAACAATGGAGTTTGTGCGTGAAAATGTGCTTCTAATTATTTGGACTACTGTTAACTGTGTAGTTTGTTCGTGAAATTGATAATTATATGGACTAATTTTAAAAGCGAATATATATTTAAAACAGTGATGCTAATTGCTTAGGCTTCTGTCGACAGTAAATGTCATACCTGAAAGTGTGCTGCTAATTATTTGAACTCCTTTCAACACTGAAGTTCACACATGAAAGTGTGATGTTATTTATTTGGACTCCTGTCAACACTGAAGTTCACATCTGAAAATACATGTTAATATTCCGCAAAATGTATTTGATAAGATGAAGCAAATTTTTAGGTAAGTCAGTTTTTTTATAAACAGTTTCAGTTTTGTGAAGTCAGCTTTTCTATTTACTGATCTTCAGGTAAGTAGACGTAACAATACATATCACTCATCCCGTGTGTTTCAGCTTTCTGTTCGCTGATCCATTATTTGTTTGTTACGTACATTCAAGCAAAGCTACACAAGCTATCCGTGCTAGTTGTTCCTAATTATGAACTGACAGACCAATAGAAATCAACTTCCGCCTTCAGCTCTTTAGCCACTCTAATCGAATAGTGATATTTGACCGTCACTCTTATAATGCATCCACAGCTCAAAAGTACGGAGCGCAATTTTGCAGCAACGGGACAAATACCATGGACCCTCGGATTCACGGGCCGTCAAGCTGACCACAAGAACACACTTGTAAGTAGATGTAACAAGACACAAGTTTGTATATGTAAATCCTTGTGTTTAAACGCTTAGTGGCTCAGCAGTAAGTCTGCAGGTTTACGGGTTTTGATGCCTCTTATGGGCCGAGCATAGACAACTTATTGTGTAGCTTTGTGCTTAATAGCAACCAATCAACCTTGTGCTTAAAATATATTGGAAAGTTAGAAAACATGAGGACAAAATACGCAAGTTTTTGTATTTTAATGTGAAAGAAGCTTAAACATGAATATCCATGAGTTTATTATCTGTAAGTTTAAGATACTCGTTTATTTACACTTAGTAGAAGTAAAATAATATATTGAACCTGTAAGTTTAATATACACACGAGGAAACATACTTAAAACTAACGAGAACGAATAGGGCCCGGCATGGCCAGGTGGTTAGGGCGCTT